TTGTCTTGCCTTTGTATGAGCCACGTTAAATGCGTCTGCATTAAAAAATAATTAAGAGCTGCAAATCACATCCAATCAAACACAGCTGCAACATAAGCACCTCTTAGCTCTTTGAACTCTCAAAAGACTCTTCACACTGGTGATGGATGACTAAGAGACAGGCTATATGACACAGATCCATAGAATCAGAAGTAGCTGATAGAATGCAAACATTTCATGCCCATTCCAAGGAGGAAAAAAAGCTGACACAGAAGTCTCTGAAGTTGAATCAGTACTATATGCTTTGGACTTCAAGAATTTGTGCAGGTTCAGAGTGCAACAAGTCTGCAGGAGAGAAGTCATTTGAGGCTTATCGAATAAATAACACTGCCTCAAGTTTAGGAAGCCCTTGAAACACAAGCTGGAAGCAGGAGCACCACAATACAGTAGCTTCACCAGATGACTATTACCACTGTCAGACACTGAATAATTGCCTGTATGGACACTTTGCCCGATGTGATGTGTCACTCTTCTACTACGCTTTAAGACCTCATTTCACATTCACATTCACTTTTCCAAAATCACGTCTCCTCCTCTAAGGACGAAATCCCCCTCAACTCAGCCACTGCAATTGCCTGTAGAGATCAGCAACACAAAATACACCTTCACCGGATCCCGTACATTAACATGCCAAACTGATACATGGTAGCTGAAACACAGCACAGTTTTCATTTTGCTGCAGGAAGTGCTGCAATCTAGCAGAAAGGCACAGCACATACCAGCTAACACATGAAGGCACAAAGGCATGTGAAAAAAGTTTCTACTGATGAACTAAAAAATAACGTGTGCATATCGGAATGCCAACATTACCCATGGCTCTAAAGTATCTCAGAAATCACAGGACTACATGAGCTGAGAGGCTGGTGAAAAAGGAACAGTGACTTAACTTATGCAACATGATATGTTTGTACAATTTTGTAAAAGAAAACAACATGCTATAATTTTCTTTTTATAAAAAATACGAACAGCCTATTTGGGATCTCGAAAGAGCAAACTCTCAAGCTTCAAACAGCAAAACAAAGCCCTGTAATCCACCATTAAGTATGCATTCTGCTGAGCTGATGGCTACACTCATATTTTGGCTTACTACAGTGAATTCCATTCTAGGAAACTCCAAGAACTCTACACCCTACTTCCAAGTACTGCGACGTCCTGCCAGGTATAGCTAGTCATCCTGCATGACTGCACTACTTTTTATACATGTTCTTCTTAATCCCATGTGTCAAAAAAGATAGTAGAGCTACTAGCATGCACCCTTCTGTTAACCTACCTCACAACAAAGCAATAAAATCAGTTACAAGTTCTAAAGTATGCATTCTTTAATGCCTTCAGTATTTTCTTTCCAATTGGCAAATACACCACTTTCCCTCTCACATCTTTGCTCAACTTTTCGACTCTTTTTCCAGTTTCTTTCCCAGTATTACTATTCCAAGAAAATATTTCTGTGGATTTCTACACCCACATCTAAAAATAACTCATTCCCATTTGTCTTGCCAAAACTACCTCCATTAAATCAATAGTGAAATGCCTTTTGGTAAAAATAAGCTGAGAATGTGTCAATCATAATTTGATTCCAAGCTGCAATTTACAACACAGACTTTAATCATGTTTTGATGTATACCATAGGTGATTCTACAGAACAGCCTTAATAATGCAAAGAATGAACCTTACTGTTATATTTCAGATCACACTCCTATGACTTAATTTTTTAATACACAAAAAGCAAGATTTACTAGGTGACAATTTTCCCACTAATTTCTGTCTGAAATTTTTAAATCACTGGTACATGCACACAGAAGGTGAAGAACAGTTCATCACAAGCACTGTGGGACAAGTTTCCTTGAAGTCATGCATGATGTGGGCCACCAGCGGCAGGGCAGAGGCAGCAGAGGTGTGCCCTTACAGCTGTGACGGCTGCAGCATCAGCCTCCAGCAGACAATGGGGACAGGTTCTCTCTCCTCCTCAGCTCCGGTAAAAGGCAGAATCAAGAGCAGAGGGATCTCCAGTCCGAATGGAGAGAGTAGTCAGAGCCTTCCCACAGGTAAAGAAGAAAAGAGCTCCCTCCTAGTCAACAGGTAACAAACAAAACTGAGTCACTGCTCATTTTCTGCAAACAAGACTTACACAGCAAGAAGCTGAACTGACTTACCTCAAAACACACAAAAACAGTACACTAAAACTGTTTAATAAAACTTTTCTGAAACACACTAGACATATCATAAAGGAAGTAAATGACTGTGCTTTGTATTTGAAGCACATTAAAAGTTATCCATAATTAAAAAGCATTTCTAATCACGACTATGCAAGGCATGCAGACATTTCTCTGCAGCCTCGGTGGTAAGAATGCTGTTTAGAAATATTTAAATAAGACTGAAAAGCACCTGTCCTACTGCACCCTGTCATTACTTAAGGAAATAAAACCTCCTAACTTGCTTTGAAGTGCAAGAAACTCAAATATGTATCAACTCAAAATAAAAATTAAAAAAGAAAGAAAAGCTGCAAAATAACCAAGGTAGTCCCACAGCTTGTGTTCTACCTATTTTTATATTCATATCGTAGGGGAAAACAACCTTTTTTAGTCTCCTGGTTTGTCAACTTGCAAGAAAAGTGAACTGTACCACCAAACAGTAATTTCCAGTCACAGGACCTGTAACAGCTAGGAAACCTTTAGTGGATTTCATAGGGCCTTCTGAAAGCAATCGTTTTTACACACCAGGGCCGCTACCTTCTACTAGTTAGTGTCTCTAACAACTAGCAACAAGTCAGATGAACTGGCTAAAAGCTTCCAGCCAATCGTCAACGCCACTTTACGTGTAAATATTTGTAATTAAAAAGCCCCACAGTGTGCCACCAGAGAACATCTATCCCCATCTCAAAAGAGCACACACCACAGCTCCTGTTGAGACCATACACTGAACTTCAGAAGACACTCTGATTTTACCATGGACCTCGCAAGACCCCTTGTCTTTGTCCTCTTCCCCTTCACACTCCTTTTATTCTTCCTGAATCCTTTTGTATTTGGGGGCATTTCTTGTGCTTTACATAGAACTTATTTATCCAGCCTCTTTGCCTAGCTCAATTCCCTGGCATATAGTCTGCTGGATGCTGTGTTAGTAGAGACAGTGCAGGAGGAACAGGCCCAACAAACTTGATCTGGCAGAAGACTTCACATTTGTGCAGGCAGTGTGCAGGATCCGTGTAGACAAAGCACGTTGAAGAGCTGTAGACTCCTAAGAACAAAGATGAACCTCCCTCCTCCTTGCCGCTACCCGTGGGCAATTTCACATCAGTAGCTAAGCCGCTGCAAATCTTTTTCTACGATTCATGAAAACAGACTAATGCCACACAAAATTACGAAGTACTACTTTATCGTCCTTATTACATTGTCTTTGTCGAGCCACAGCTGCTATTTTGTTTTTAGAGCTACTCCGAAATATAAAATCTCTTCCCTTTTAAGGAAACCGTGTCTAAACACACATGTAAAATACAAACAAGGCTAGTATCTCCAGTACATAGCCTTCACCTGAGCTGTGATGGAGCAGAAATGCATCTGATTAATCGCAGCACACCCTCGGAGGGGCTGCGAGGATGTAAAACTCTCACTGTGTCCTCCGTGCCTCTGGGCAAGTAAAGCAGCTGTTGGTTATCAGTCACAAGGACGGCATCCCACGACAGCCCAAGCACTCGGGGATGCCTATGACAAGCCCCAGCGCAGTCACGCCGCGAGGCGGACCCGAGCCCGGTCGCTCCCCACCGCGATCCCGGCAGCATCCGACCAGGCGCGCCAACAAAGCCGCGGCCCCGCGAGCGCGGCCCCGCCGCCGCACCTGCCGCGGCCCCGCGGAGCGGCGCGAGGCCCACACCTGCCGGGCACGCGCGGCTCCCGGGGGCTCCTCAGGGCGGCCGCGCCCGCCGCCGGCTGCCGCCCGGCCGTCCCCGCCCGCCGCTGCCGCCCCAGCTCCCTCCTTCCCTCCCCTCCCCTCCCGCCGGCCCCGGGAACAAAAGAGGCCAGTGCGGCGGAGCCCGGCAGGCCAGGCGCGGCGGCCCGGCCCGCGCTCCGGCCGCTCCGTCACGGCCCGGCCCGGCCCCGCGCCGGCCCCGGCCGGGCCGGGCGCGCTCTCACCTGGGCCCGGCGCAGCGGCGCGCTCAGGGCGGCGGCATAGCGCTCCCCGCCCCGGACACGGCGGGAGGCCGCCGGCTGCTCGCCAACTCCGCCGCTCCCCGCCTCGGCTGCCGCCCTTACGCAATTGGCAGCGGCCGCAACCCCCGCGGGGCGACCCAGATCGCGGGCCCCGAGCGGAGGCGGCTGCGCCCCGCCACGGCGGCCCCGCCTCCCGCGCTCCCACCGCCCCCGCGCCGGGGGAGGAGCGGGGCCGCCCGCCCGCCCCTCGCCCGGCCCGGCCGCCCCTCCGCTCCGCGCTCCGCCGGGCGCCGCGCTGCCCAGCCCGGCCGTGGCGCTGCCCCGCTGGACTGCATCCCTCCGGCCCTCCCGCCGGGAACCAGGTGCCGCCCTCTGCACACCCGGGCCTGAGGGCAAAGAGGAGGCAGCGGGGTACTTTGCATCCGTGCCCTGACCTACGGCTCTCCTCTGGGCAGCGTGGAGAAGAGCTGATTTGCAGCTCAGATACTGGACTCAGCGATAGATACCGATGTCCGTGTTGCAGTAATAATAACAACAGTAATAGTAGTACTACCATAATAATGGTAATAATAATAATAGTAATAAGAATAATAGTAATAAGAATAATTCTACAGTATAAACGCGCAGGTGCTGCCTGGGCGGTGTGAAACGTGCGCAAGATATGAGAGCTAGGCGACAGTGGAGAAAGACAGAGAGGGCTGTCTCCGGAGGGACAGCGGGGAGGGACACAGGGACACCCGGAGCGCACAGGAGGCGACAGTAGCAGAGAGCAGAGAAACGGCAGCTGTCGGTACGCCCCGGCTGAGCGAAGTTACTTACGGCGGTTGTAGTCCGGGCGGTCTGACCAGGGGAAAGAGCTGACTGAAGAACTTGATTCCGCTTTCTGAGTTGTTTTTCTTTGTTTTAATTTTGTTTCGAGTTCTAATGATTTTTAAAGTAAAATCAAACTAGACCCCAAAATGTTTTGAATTTCAGGGAACCCCTGCCTGTAGCTGTTACATAGCAAAGAGCATCAATTGATATAGATATTCAAGAGGGACTATGAAGCCTCAGGGCACCCTTAGCCTCAGGCTGTCAGCTTTGATGTAAGTCTGACAACGGGTTTCTCTTAAGTTTGGGACCTCCCACTATTTCCGTGCAGCAAGGTTGGGCCACACTCATTACTAATGAACCAGGAAAAAAAAAAGAAGCAAAAACTGCCCCCGATCGGATTCAAGATGCTTCAATGAAATGCTTCGGAAGATACAAGCATTTCCCAACATAGTTATTCCTTTGGGAATATTCCAAACAGATGAAGTCAAAGTGATAACTCATTTGTACATCTACGAACACGGACTTACTAACTCTGCCTCCAGCGATTTCCTCTTTGTTTAAAGCATAGTAAGCTTAGCCTGAGTGGTGTGCTTATAGCTCATGGAGACATCTAGCGCCTGAATAATAGACTGCAAATCAGTCTGTTTCATTAATCTGAACTCTTGGCTATCATCACTTGCACTATTTCACCCCAGGACCGCAGGGTGCAGAGCAGTTTTACTGCAAACCATCACACCACTGAATAGAAGCTGTCTATGGGCAGGGACCACGGTGGAATGAGCAGCTGCACTAGCTCTGGAGGGGACTGTGACTGCAGCTCTGCTGCACAGCTTGAGCTTCAGGCCTGAGATTTACAGCAATAATTGACTCAAGACAGAGATTTTCCTGTATAGACACAAAAGGGGTTGAGACAGTTCCTAACTTGCCTTTGTCACTAAACCGCAGAGAAGAAAGCCCTTAGGCATACGAATAAGGAAATTTCTTCTTGGCTTTGATTGTGTGTCTCTACTTCTATCCTTTCTTTGTTAGCCCACGAGCACAATCATTCTAATACATGTAATTATAAAACTTTGCCTCTTTTCAACAAACATATACAAACTGAATACTTAAATTTGCCAATTACTTTGGCTAAAATTAAATTGAAGGTAAGCACTGCTTATGTACTAGAAAGATATTAGTCCAGTAACAGAAAGTATTTACCTTTTTTAATATAATTGTCTAAAGAAAGAAGAAATACAGACTGCTGATCAACATTCTCAGCCAGAAGCCTGGAAAAAAGCTCATTTCAGTGATACTCAAATGCAGATGTTTTTGCTAGCATTACTGTATAGGGACATAAAGTAAAACATTTCTACATACTTAAGCAGTCTGAAACTAAATGCATTAGGCATGTGTGGGTGCAGGAGTGCACACATGTGTATATTTTAGACAACCCACATAATATATTCTTTTCAGTCTCAGGCAGATCACAAACACCTTTGAGCTGTAAAAGCACTAGATCATAAGACCTTAGAAAAATTAAGGCTGGGAAAGACCTTTAAGATCATTAAGTCCAGCTGTCAACCCAGCACCACAGCCAGGTTCACCATTAAACCACGTCCTCAAGCGCCATATCCACAGTTTATCACCTCCAGGGATAGTGACTCCAACAGGCTTTACAACCCTTTCTGTGGAAACGAAAATCCAAAAATTTAATCTAAACCTCCTCTGGTGCAACTTGAGGCCATTGCCTCTCATCCTGCCACTTGTTACCCACGAGAAAAGGCTGACACCCACCTCACTATGACCTCCTCTCAGGCAGCTGTAGATCTCTTACAGAATGGAATTATCACCAAACAATTATAATGTTTATAAATTATGGATACATTTGAAGAAAACAATCCCTAAACCCTGTAAGTATGCAAAATATTGGACTTTGAAATTTCGTGAGTATTTAAAATCTCTTTATCAAACTCAAATGATGCACAAAAACATTAGTGCATCTCCATTCAGTATCACTTGTTTCTTTATGCTACTTTGGGTTTCAGCAGACAGAAGGTTGGTAAAGCATATAAACCAAAATTTTAAAATTACAAAAGATGAAAGATATGATTGATGCCATCACTATAGTCTAATTATTTCAAAATAAGCAAGAAGGAAGCAGCTTTTGGTGCTTCTGAATAAAAAAGAGGTACTAGGAAAAAGAAGGGAGCAAGTTAGGAAGCAACAGGTGGGAGTAAGTACAGGCAGTTACCAGTTATAAAATGATGTCATATTCTCTCAATTCCCATGCACATCCTTAGAAAATATTTCTGCTGGTCTATTGAGATAAGAGAGCAAATGTATCTATTTCTTTCCTTATTTATGCCTTTCTGGCATATGTCCCAGGTACTCTGCGGTAATACCTTTTACATACAGTAGCCATGTTTTAAATTATCATGAAAACCACACATTTTTAATTAATTCTCTGTGAGTTTAGCACGTGCAGCAAAATAAAAGTCAAATTATTAAAGTAATGCAAACACTGCCTAGTCTGGGGGAGTGTTTGCTCTTGGCAAAAAGCATGATCTTACTTTGACATATTATGCTTCAACCAAAGGTAACAGCAGTTAACAAAGTGTAACAAAAGTTTAAGAGAGAAGACAAGTGCAAAATGCATATTGGGGGAATGTAGAGGTAATTTTTAACCAAATTTAGTCGGGAGCAGATTCATCTTCCCCTGCTTGCTGAAGAGAAAATGCCTTTTTGTATGTCAGGACAACCCACATGCAACTCATTTACTTTTTGCAGGTTTACAAAAAAGAGTGACCTATTTCTGAGTTCTGCTAAATCCTACCTGTAATTCTCTAAAGTGCAGTTTGATGAATGACAAAATGCAACAAAGCCATATTGCACTAATTTTAAATATCATCAGAATAAAAGACACAGTCCCCTGCCAAATCAGTTAATCCATTCACATCAAGAAACACAGATACTACTTTCTCATTGTGCTTAGATTTTAGTTCAACATTATTAAAAATTTTTGATTGTGATTGTTTTCCATATTTAAAAAATTTTCCTTGGAAAAGCTTCTCACAAAAGGTGTCCACCTTCCAAGTCACTTCAATATTTGTTTTAATGTGAATACTTATTTTAATGTGACATTTATGTCGATTTTACAAGCTAAGTGCAACAGTAAATTTGCCTTTAAAGCAAATTTGCCTTTAAGGATTTAAGGTGAATATTGATGGAAAGTGGTTGGTAAATGAGTGACCAGAAATACAGCCGTAAGGACTGCTGGTTCTAGTTGCTTGTTTGTTCAATAAACATAAGCAATATGTAAGCAGATACAATGTTAGGCCAGTCAGATGCACAAGAGTTGATTTTGGAGTGCTGAGCTCATGAGATGAGTCACAATCTAGAGACCTTTTAACATCTGTCAAAAATTTTTGATTATGAGGCATTCCATAATCCGTAAGGCAGATGAAAAATTGTTAAATGCATAATTTCCTAAAAATTGCCCACTAGACTTTGGTTGAGACTATTTGAAATATCTTTGATCATTTGCATTTCATCTCCTATGTCTGGTTTAATAGCTTTTAAATTCTGCACATAATGCTGATAAATTTAAGTCCTGAATTTCTAAATTCTCAAATTTCCTCAATTCCTAAAGACTTTGGTTAATATTCTATGAATTTTAAAAGAAGAAGAGCAGAGCTTAAAACACAGATTTCTCTTTTGCATTTACATACTAGTAAGCCAGAAACATGACAAAATTGTGTTCTTTTAATTTTTGAGAAAGAGAGCCTGACTTCCACTGTAGAGAAATACATTTTAAGTGTATGCTCTTAAGGTTATTTATCATGTATCTGAAAAGAAATATTTAAACAACGTGAAATGCTCAGGAATTTTACTTATTTTGAAAGCATTTAAACATTTGGAAAATAATAAAGTTGTAATACTTCCAAATTAGTGCCAAAAACAGATATGGGAAGTTCGAAAAACCTGTATTTTCTAGTACCTCCTTTCGTTCCAGAAGAAATGTATGTAGGTAGGAACACTTTGTGTATTTGAAAAGATAAAAGACAAACTGCAACATTAGGACACTAAGATAACATTGTTGTCCATGGCATTAAAACCATGTTCAAAACAGAACTCTCCGTCAAACACAAGATACATTTCTTGCACATGATGATTTGCTAACACAAATCTTCTTACAAAGAATGTCAATTCACTTTTAGACCATACTCCTCAAAATTTCATTCTTTTATAAAAACTTCTGTAAAATTCAGCAGAAACACATTTGACGCATGTTTAAGTAATATTGTAGAATAAGGCATTTATGCTTTCCTTGTTTTGTAACAATGAAATAGCATGCATGTGTAAAATCGGGGGGGCTGTTTCCAGTAAATTTTCAGTTTTCTGCCAACACAGTGCGTTACTAGATGACAGACCGAACGTTTTTCCTTTTTGGAAATGCGAATCACAGTTACAGGAAAAGTTATCTGTTGGATTCTGTGCATAGGATACCATCCTGACCTTTTGGGATTTTTTTTGCAAAAAAAGCTCTAGGAACCAAAGTGTCTAATATGAATGACAGCCAAATGTAAAAACAAGAAGTATTTGTTTGCCCAAGAGAAATGAATACTTTGATTCGCTGAGATGCATTGGCAATCCTGCAAAACATTTGGTTCAGGTTGAGATATTCAACAATCCTAAAAATCATGCTACTTTTTAAAAATTAATTCTTTAAACAAGAGCTTGAGGGGAAAGCACCACGATCATTACTGGTTTTGCAGACCTGTTTCTTTACAAAAAGCATAAATTAACATTAAAATAGGATTCTATAGTAAAGCAGAGATTCATCTAGCAGAGTAGCTTCTTTCCAACAGTTGTTGCCAAGACTTTACAAGAATGTATTCTAAAAAGTTAAGCAAATATACATCAAAACTTGATAGACTACTCCCCCTTCTTCAAGTGATTTGCAGCTGTGTCACCATTGATATGCTTCTTCTTACCAGCTTCTGTCAAAGAATCTGTTTCTTTCAGAATTATGTAAGTTCCTAACATCCATGATGTCCTGTGACAAGGAGTTCTGCAGCAACTACACCAGGCATACAATTTACAAGAAGCATATCTTGTAACAAGAAATGTCTCTTTCAGAGGTTCCACTTATCTCATATGATACCCCATAATGCTCATGTTGAAAGAAAGTCGTTATTCAACTTTTCCATGACACTTGATCAAGTTCTCTCATGCTCATCTGTTTTGAGA